GAGCTGGCATTTTGCTGTACAGTGCGCCCATCTGACTATATGTTAGAAAAGGAAAAAGAGACTGCTTCCTCTGCTCCCTACATAAGCTTGTGGGATGAGTGAAGAGAGCAGAACTACCAAGGCACCAGGGGAATTGGAGAGGGAAAAGGAGCATTGGGTGGGCGGGTGAGGAGAAAGTGGGACGATAGTGTTGACATTCCTGGAGTAGAAAGCGTGTTGCAGTTGCAGAGCAGCTGGGATAGTGCTCAGTGCAAGGCATTTCCCTGCAGGGAAAGCTTTGCTGGGAGTAGTGGCATGTTGCCTGGAGCAGGGGAGGCACCAGGGTGATGGTTTTTTGGGCCTCCCACCAAGGTTGCCCATGCCACTCCACTTGTAAAATATAAGATATATGCCTATTGTTAATTTCTTAGGACTAACCTGTTTTGAGATAAGAGAGGCAGTTACATACTGAAGACATGAGTGACAAAATTGCTTTGCCAAAGCCCCGTCTATGTCCCTGAACGAGAGACACTTCAGATGAGCTTGAGTGAAACTTGTTCCAGACAACTGCATGTTAATGCAATAATCTCCCCTGATTCGTACCCAAATTAATTGTTACGGTTTAGCAGGTGTTAGTCTGCTTTTGGTCCTGGAGCGCTTGTCTAGCCTGGCCAGTTATTCACAGCATGTTGCTTACAGTGCAAGGGGCCCCTTGAGACAGAGAGGACAAAGAATACTGAGGGTATGGTTTATATTTGTTTGAATTCTGAAAGCAATCTGATTGTTGGAAACAACAGTTGGTCCTTAGTCCAGATGGAAAATAGTTGGCCAGCTTCCCTTTTTATGGTGTGGAGTATCTTCAAAGAAGGAAATGATCTTGATTCATATTGGAAAGCATGCTCTTCTCACTTCAGAGAGAAACACATTAAAAATGTGAACAAGGACTACACAGTTGTTCAGTTCTGCCTCTTTTCCCCATCCTGGCATTTATAAGGAAAAAAATATTTACTGAAAGTAAACTTAAATTCATCTTTCAGTAAATTGCATACAGAATGAAAAATACCGTATTTTTCGCTCCATAAGACGCACAGACTTTCCACACCCCTGTTTTGTGGGGAAAAAGTGAGTCTTATGGTGCAAAAAATACAGTAATTAGTTAAAATACAGTTTTCACTTATGTTTCATGGAATGTGATTTGATTGCAAGAATTCTGTGTCCTATGCTCATCACTGTTGATGTTGAGATATATTATTACTGGCTTGCATACATGTATTCAAACGGCTATCAGCCTTCTGTTTCATTTTACTGGTACACCCATGTACACATAAGATTACATTTAGCTAGTTACTGAGCACCTAGAATCCACATTGTGAGCTGCTTTAGCTTGGTGAGTCATTTTACAAAATGGGCTGCCTTCCTTTGTACCTGGGAAGGCAGTAAAGCAGAATCTTCCACTCCCCAGCAAGCTGAATTGGTCTTTCTTTCCATGGCAATTCTAATGATTGAAACAGTCCTGTGCAGAGCTAGGAAAAATTGCTTTTTGGACTACAACTCCCAGAATCTCTCAGCTGCAGGCATTTTTAAAAAAAAAACTTCGATTGAGAATTTTTTTTTTAAAACTTTGAGAAAAAAAGTTTTTTTTGAATTGGTCTTTCTTTCCATGGCAATTCTAATGATTGAAACAGTCCTGTGCAGAGCTAGGAAAAATTGCTTTTTGGACTACAACTCCCAGAATCTCTCAGCTGCAGGCATTTTTTTTAAAAAAAACTTCGATTGAGAAAAAATTTTTTTTAAAAACTTTGAGAAAAAAAGTTTTTTAAAAAAACTTTTATTGAAAACTCTTGGAAAAAATAAAAACAATAAAAGAGATTATAGTACAAGACCTAAACCCAATTAAACTAACAATGATATGCACAACACTAAATTTATCGCTGTGAATAATACAATCCATTCCTATAGTCCACTGACATTTTATCAAACCATGAAAAAGGCTCCCTCTTGTGCAGCTAATATTCTTCTGGTGACTGCCAAAAAGAGAACCTCTAAATACATTATTTGTGTTTATGAAAGATGGATATATGGAGTTCTAATTTTCTTCTGTGTTCTTTTTTTGGTATAACCTTTCAGTGCTCTTTACCCTTTGAGAAACTTTTTATCCAACAGCGTTGCGAAGGCTGTCAGCACTCAATTAGAACTTTAGGGATGCAGGGGCAGAAGTTCTGAATCTGTAAAATAGTTTGGAACCCAATGAGAAGTGTTCTTTGTTTCGGTCATTCTTCATGGGATTATTGTGTACTGAACTCCCAGTGCTCCCCATCCTTTTTTTTTTTTTGCTTGCTTGCTTTTGTTTTATAATTCTTGCTGATTTGCTTGTACGAACACAACTACAAATTTGAAAACTATAGGAAGTTAGAGATACTTATTGTTTTTAGTATTCAATATTGTCTTTAATTATGTAAGTTGTCTGGGGTTCTTTGTTAGGAAAAACACAGAGTAAAAATAGATAGATAGGCCAGTGGTCAACTGTGTTCTTGATGTTTAATCTTCTTGGCTTGGAATTCTTACTTTTTTAAAAATCATCTGAGTGGGTGCCTCACAGGCAAGCACTGGGCTGCCTGACTAAGTCCATGACTGCTGCTGGCTGCCCAGGTAGCTGGCTAGGTTGTGTTGTGCTGTCAAGCCTGATTAGTAGGTTTGCAGATGTTGCTTTAGAGTTGGAGTTAGCTTGGTGCAGTGGGCCTGGTGGCACAGGAACTTGGCCTATTGAGAGAGCCCAGCTGGATGGGGATAGGTCAGTGGGTAGGCCAGGCTTCACCTACCTTATGATTGCTGATGTTTTTTTCCTGGATACTGTGGGTGTGTGCTGCCAGATGTCTGGCTGGCTAGGTTAGCTGCTAGGGCTGTGCTACCCAGCCAGGCTAGTAGTTAGGTGGTGTGTGTTAGTGTAGTGCATAGATTGGGGAACAGGGGTAAATTACCCCAAATGGGGTAAAAGTGAAAATCCTGGGGGTAATGAGCAGAGTGCTACCCCCCTACCTCCCTCCCACCCCACCCTCTGCAGCCAAACCTCAAATTGTAAGCCACCTCTCCCTGTTACCTCCTTGGTTGCAGCAGGGCACTTGTAAATCCTTCATTCCTTCAGAGATCGGAGATAAGCCTGCTTGATTGGTTATAGCTGTGGATTAGCCCCAGGCAATCAATCAGTCAATCCAAGGCTTCTGAATGACTGCTTCCTCTGGAAATGACTACAAAGAAGCAGGAGGAGGGAAAGGATCAAAGAGCAAGCAAGGGAAGGAGGGAAGAAAGGTGCGAGAGACCGATGACTTCATCATTAATAAATGTATGTAGAAAATGGAGGGAGGGAGAAAATGGAGGGAGGAAGGATGGATGTGTGTGTGTGTGTGTGTGTGTGAGTGAGTGAATGAGTGAGTGAGTGAGTGAGAGAGACTGACTCAAAACTATGAAAAAGAACAGGCAAGAAAAAGAGAAACCTTGAATTAAAGCGGCTGGGGGGGAAGGGTGGCTTTTTAAGGTGGTGTCTAGGTTTATCATTGCTTTCCTTCCAAGAAGCAGGCATCTTTGAATTTCTTGGCTGCTGTCACCCTCTGCAGTGATCATGGAGCCCAAGAAAGTAAAATCTGTCACTGCCTCCATATCTGCCTCTTCTATTTGCCCGGAGGTGATGGGACCAGTGTTCATGATCTTAGTTGTTTTGATGTTGAGCTTCAGACCATTTTTTGCACTTTCCTCTTTCACCCTCATTAAGAGGTTCTTTAAGTCCTCCTCACTTTCTGCCATGCTTTTGCGTAGTCAATGAAGCAGAAGTAGATGTTTAGGTTGAACTCTCTGCCTTTCTCCATAATCCAGCGCATGTTAGCAATTTGGTCTCTAGTTCTTCTGCCCCTTCAAAAACCAGCTTGTACTTCTGGGAGTTCTCAGTCCACATACTGCTGAAGTCTACCTTGTAGGATTTTGAGCATAACCTTGCTAGTGTGTGAAAGGAGTGCAATTGTACAGTACTTGGAGCCTTCTTTGGCACTGCCCTTCTTTGGGATTGGGATGTAGACTGATTTTTTCCAATCCTCTGGCCATTGCTGAGTTTTCTGTTGATGATGATAAAAAAAAAGCACACTGGCCCTTTGATATTGGGCTGTGGCACCAGGGTAGGTGACATAACCTTTAGCCTGGTTTGTTCCTTTTTGCACACCACACATAGAATGATTAAAGTGGTAGCGAAAGCCCCCCCCCCCATTTCTTTGGAGCAGTTTTTTTAAAGGATTCTTTAGGACATTGAGATATCTAGAAAACAAGAATGGAGAAACATGAATGGGAAACCCAAAATAACTGGTCTGTGTTGTGTAAAATGAAAGGTCTGGCATATGAAAAATATGTAAATGAACAAGACACTCCCGCTAAAATAGCCTGAAAGGGGGGAAAAACCCTAAAATTTTCATGTGTCTCTCTAGACACTATAAAGGTTACACTGTGTAGTCGTAAAGTCTTGTATGTCTTAGGTCCACGTCCCCCATTTGATCCTCCCTTGATATTGATCTTTGGAGGATACCTCTCTCTTGGACCTACTATCCTCACAGGGACCTTTGGCGAGGACTTGAGAGAGGGCTTTTTCTAGACTATGGAAGTCCACTCCATGGGAACTCTGTTGGCCTTCTTACTCTTGTCTTTCCACTGTCAGACAAAGACCACCTTCTTCAGTCATGCTTTTGGCCACTGATTGGCGTTATGGAGAGCTTTTAATATGTGGTACTATTTTTTTTTATTTCACTGAACTTATTTTGATATATGTATGTCTAATTTTTGCTGTTTTTGTTTCACATTGTTTTAAATTTAGCAATATTTTGATATTACTGAAAGTTTCATAGGATTTTTACTATTTTGGTTCGTTTATTTTCCCCTCCTAGTCATTTCTTAAGCTTCCTAGGGTCCTTGAAAGGGGAGAAAGGTGGGATATAACTAAAACATATGGAATTCTTCCATTAATTTGTCTCTTCTTTCCCTCTTAGCTAACTGTTCACCCCCATGCCAAAATGGAGGGATGTGTCTGCGACCACAGCTTTGTGTGTGTAAACCAGGAACAAAAGGTAGTGTTTGTGAGGATTCAACTAAACAAGAAACGGCTCCACCGGGAGGACCAGGTCCTGTGACACCACCATGGCCTATTCCTCAGCGGTCTGCTCAACAAACATTTTCAAAGAAGGTGCAGATCCAACAAAAAAACAGTCCTATGACCCAGATGACTTTCACACTGAAGCAAAAGCCCTCTGGATTACCTCAACAAGTGCAGTCACAGTAAGCCTTTTCCTTTAGTCTGTTTTGGTATTTCCATTGTGTTTTCATATTAGGCATCAAGATTTCTTATGTGGATTTGAGTAAATTGTCCCACCTTTCTGATCTCTTCAAAAATAATAGTATTTCGCTATAATAAAAGCTAGAAATATTCATTTATTTAAACACATCTCATTGTGTTCTTACAGAAAATTTTCTTACAGTTCAAAGATGATGTCAGTGGTAAAACAGCTAGTGAAAACTGCTGAGTGTTTTCATGTTTGTTACTGTATGGTTTGGTGTGGTTTGGTGTTGCATAGTGATAATGACTCATTGGAGGATGAAGTACTGATGAAAAGTGTGGAAGTGCAGTGCAATACTTCCCTTTCCTGAATTTGGGGAAGTAATAGCTCCTTTGGAGATTGGAAACAGAAGCCAGTCAAGAACGACCTGGGAGCTGTAATGAACTGAGCGTTCTAATACGCTTATGGATCACTATGACATTCCCATGGTTAGCTATGCATTGCCTCTTTATTAGATCTCTCTTTTTGATATGCATAATTAATTGCCTTTTGGCAGTAAAGAGACACACAGAATTCATTTTGTCATCATCTTCTCTTTCTTCTCCTATGAAAGGTTGGGCATCACCATGCCTGTATTGCAACTGGATGTAGTAATTTAAAAAAATGATGCTATGTTGCGTCCAAGCCAGTCTTCCAAGTTCTTTAGCCAATAAGTTGTTCTCCTTCCTTGTTGGAGTAAGTATCAGGGTAGAAGTCAGAGAACCTCAGACTTCAAATTTGTATACAGCTATTCTAGAGTGAGGGCATTACCAGCGAAAGTGGCCTGACCCGTGTGCCAACCCACTAGATAACATCACACTGTATTTTATGTATTCTGTTTCAAGAACAAAAATATTCGTTATATAAACAAAGTGCCATTTAAAAAATTCAGAAGATCACTTCTATTTTCTACCTGTTAAGAATACATTTTAGAATGTTTAGAGTAGTTTTATCTAGAGCAGTAGTAGGCTCTTTATCATGGAAGCTCTTCGGCCAGAAGCTGGACAGCAGGCTATCCCAGCTTTTTGTCATCAGTCATGTGGACAGCAGTGGTCTGAGGAAGACAGTCTCCTCTAACATGTGCAATCTCTCCACATGATTCGAAACTGATTTTCCAGGTTTCCAGATGATGTGAAGAGTCCCTGTATTCAGTAGAGATTCTTCTTTTCAAGTCATCGTTCTCCACATGAAGAGATCAACAATGCAAGTAGCTAGGCTAGTTTGCTCTTTCTCCTCTTTCCATGCATTTAAGTTAAGCCTAACCCTGAATGTCTGAATAGGGCTTGTGTGAAATATTATATATAGAAATAACTGGAGAGAATGACAAAGGTTCAGGACCACAGAGTTGGATTTTTTTTTATAGAAGATAAGATTAAATTAAGACATACGAAGAAGATAAAACAAAAAATGAAATGAAGGTGCAGTGGAGATTATATGTTTGAGTAAGAGAGAGCAGATCATTTGAAGAACACAACAGACAAAAGAGAAAGAGAGCTGACTGGAAAATGTCAAAAATAATCTAATCCCTTTTTAAAAGTCAGAATGGCTGCTGTCTATAGGGCTGTCAGCTAATCTCTAGGCTTTTACAGTTTCATTTTCCTGTATTAATAGTATCTGCTTTTTTCTGTGTTGTTATCAAACAATGACACAATTGGGGGAAACTGAATGTTTGGGGAAAGCAGTAAAACTCAGTACAAACAAAGGGGCGCTTCTTGCGCAGGCTGAACAATTGGGGCATCACATTTCTTCCTAGGTTTTTTTAGTTATTGTGTTGTACATGATTATTTAAGGTTTAACAATGGTTAGATGGGAGTAATATGTTTACAGCTGGCTTACAGTATCTCTGTTTATCTTTTCTGATAATTGTCCTAGATTTATTTCAGCAAATCCTTCCCTTAAGTTCTTTTGTTTTCTTTGAAGCTTTTCACATGGCATGCTTTAAGCATACATATATTTATATATTATGGCCTGGGTGAAAAGCAGGTCTTTTACAAATGGAAGCATTCTTGATGGTCATAGGGCTAGTGGTCCAGGGGAAGGAAGGAGAGAGGTTTTTTTTAAATATTTCCCTTGCTATGCAGTTTCCTACACCATCATCTTGTTATTCCAAAGAATCTTCCAAACTTCTGGGCTGTCAGAGGCAATAAGCAAAAACTACCTCTCCATTGCCTTCCCTGAGTGGGAAGCTCTGTTCACAGAACATTCCGTTCTGCACAGTACCCTAGGAATTGTTGGGGCAGAAGGAATCCAAGATTATGGAAATCAAGGAGTTGACATCAGATATGCCATCACTAGATGATTGAGTCCATGTTGTAGCTGGGTATGTCAAGAAATGTTTACGTGATGATTATAGCATGTGCCAAAACAATTCAGTGGCCATTTGCACATGTGGTAAAATGGTGCATTTATTTTACTATGCCCTGCTGAAATCCATCCTGGCAAAGGGAAAAGTGTGTGACTCAGACCTTGGTTAAGTGTATTCACATGTGAAATTTGCTTCCTTATCCAACTAAGCAGAGAATTCTAATCCAAAGTTCCTTGCATCTGGCTGTTGGTATTTATCCTTTCTACTCAATATATGTACAGGAGCTTCTCGTTTCAAACATTCCCTTGCTCATAAAATGGAATAGGAAAGCCTTTCTATGCTCAATGCTTTGCATGCATGCTGCACTTGCAATAATTCGTTAGCAGTAAATTCCACTGAAATGAGTGGAACCTTAACTGTCATAATTACACATTCTTAGTCCAAGAATTATATGAGATCCAAGTCTTGGCTGAAGATGCCAAGTGTGTATTGAAAGTATGAAATGGGGGCATTGTCTTTACCTGAACAAACTACAGTACTACATTCAACTAATTTTTCATTAAAATCTATGAAAGACAGTTATAAGAAGGACAGTAATCCACCCCTTGGGTGCTTTCTTTTCACCATTGTATAAATGGTGAAAAGAAACTATTCTGGAATTTAAGCATTTTATTTGTGCAGAGATTTTCTTAATATGAGAGTTAGCAAAACCTTTGTAAAATGTCTTCATAAACAGGATGGGGTGGTTTTGAGATTTAGAAATGTTATTGAAATGGACATATGTGGCTATCATGACAGAAGTTCCATAATCAAGTAGTTCTGCACTGTTTACTTATTTATTGGATTTATGTCCTGCCTCTCTTGGAGGACTCTGAGCGACTAATGAAAAAACAGACATGGATTGAAGAACAGTAGACTACATACAGTATTAAAATACAATTAAGTTACAACAAAACATAATGGTATTAAAAGCCATCTTAAACCCATGTCAGTTAAAGTAATAATAAGTAAAAAAAATACAGCACCATGCTCACTTCAGCAGCACATATAGTAAAAATACAGCACCAAACCTGTTTAAGGCTTCCTCTTCTACAAACAGTTGCTGAAAGCCCACCTGTATAAAAAGATATTTTACCTGTCACTGGAATGGGCACCAAAGCATGGGTCAACATGGCCTTTCTTGGATGAATGTTTCTCCACCATTGAGAGGATCTTTTCTTTCACCTTTACTAAACATGCCTCTGGGGGGCAGCAGGAAAGAGAGAAATACAGAATATTTCTGTTCAGAAAATGCTCTCAATGTATAATGAAAACAAGGACAAAAGGAGCACATGAGCCCAAAGCCTGAATAGCCTAGAGAAGATCCAGTTAAATTGTTTCTAGCAATAGGGAAAGGCTACATAACTATATATTTCTAGCAATAGGGAAAGGCTATATAACTTGCGCTGCTGATGATCTTGAAGAGTTGAGGCTTCCTGTAAATTGAGGGGAAGCAGAAAAGAAGTGGGAAGTCTGGTAGAATCGCAGAATGGTATTTTGGCCAGAAGGGTGTATTTTGTTAACAGCTGCTCTTTTTTTTGTATTGGAATTCATTTCAAGTATTCTTATCCATTCACTTTAACATAATTTGACTTTATGAGCACTGAATTGTAGCCTAATTAATGTTTATTTCATTGTGGCTATTTGTACTTTTCAACCTTGTAGGAGGACTGTATATAAAATGAGCTGCTTTCCAAATGTTCTGTTTTATTTAAAGGAAAAGAAAAGGCTCAATGTTCTTTAATCATACAATGTAGGCTTCAAGCATTTGTATAAAATCAAAGAGCCCTAGAGCATGTTAATCATCTACTTCTTCATTAACTGTTATTTCTTTACTGTGACACAAGCTTTCATAGGCAAGATCTGTGTACTTGCATGTGTCCTAGCCATAGCATAAGGTCTTTGATAAGTTTAATTGAAATTTGCCTTCTTGAATCACATTACCAAGCTGAAACATTGCTTTATTATTCTATAGGTTAGTATCCAATTTGAGGGCAGACTTCTACAACATTGTTGGCACATTTTCAAAGAGATTCCGTGCTAGTCGTATGTTGTAATAAACTACATTGTATTCCTGTCACATATATTATACACTGTTCATATGATAGTCTGTTTAATTAACAATGTTTCTTTTGAGTCTTTGAATGGTAATGTTTCCATTTTAATGAATGCTTTGATAGAGAAGTGGGGAAAAAAAGGACAAAGATGGTATACGAAAGTGTATGGTGTTCACAAAAAGACAGATAATTTATAGAGTTTAAGAAATGTGAAATGAACACACTGTGTTTATTATTACGCTGATGGGGCAGTAGGTGGCAAACTTCACTTTTCTTTTTTCATAGTATTTGCTTTCATACTAGAGATTGCCAGATTTTGAAGAGGTTGGTTTGAGTTGCCTGAAAGATGTCATTTCTTGGCAGCATAATTTTGAACCACCTATTTTTGCTCTTAGTGTATATGTCTCATGGTAAACACTTCGTTGGACCTTCTTTTCCTATGGGGGTAGTTGAATATGAATAAATGCATAGATTATTGTTTCTTTTTTCTGTGGATTTAAGCAAAGATTACTAATATGACCAATATATTACAGATGTATGCCAAAGACAACACTACTTAAT